TAACTTCAAAATGTGTGGAAAATGTAGAGGTGTAACTTTCACAAGTATTCTAAGAAAAATGTATGTCCAATATATGACATAACCTGATCTATCCTGACCAAATACGGATATAAATAGGAAAGCTGAGGAAAAAGAAATTAGTTGAACTACAACTCTACATAATTATGTACACACATATATACGTTTATGACGTGTAAGATCAGAAAGGTTTCAGTATAAAATATGTTTGAAAAAAGGATGCATCCTAAGGCCTTTCCTATTTAATCTGACACTAGATGAATAAATAACGAATAGAAACAAGTTCACAATTAGGTGTTTTTTAATCAAGAAGCCGTACGTAAGATTGGTTGCATACTTCCAATGCCTTGATTTTCTTTAAAGCTGAAAATAGGATTCACCATACTTCTTTTTATATGTTCAGAGTTAAACAAAAAATGTGTCGGCATAAGTATCAAATTAAAAGAACAGCGGGTTAAAGTTTACATTAATTTTTTGTTGGTTTTTTTTTCAATAAAAATTCAAAATGAAAAAGTCGCTTGTAAAATATTGTTCTTCTATATAAAAAAAATTGGTCTAAAGAGTTTAGAGAGTACTTCCCTCGCTGTCGGAAACTTGACGACTGCATGCCTATTGTGTTTTCTTTTCTCATTACATTTTTGTAGTGGGAATTTAAAAAAAAAATGTGATGACGTCATCAACATTTTTGCAAGGACACGTATATCAGTTGGGATAGATGTAGTGTAATACCAAGAATAAAATTATTGTATTCCCAAATTTTCGGGAAAATGAATTGGGTGGTTTTGAATATTGATTTCTTATAATCAATAAAATAACGAAACAATTTACTCACGTATACGGCGTCGGTGTGTAATATCTAGAGAGCGGATTTCTGTCGGGCTAGGCAAGGCCAAACTCGGTACGGCTCGACTGCACTTCGTTTATTTGAGATTAGAATAACGCTGTTTCGTTGCACTCTGCTGTTAATTCCCGTTCTCATTTACTTAGCCGTTTGATTAATGAATCGTTAATTATATTTATGGAATTAGTACTGATTAAATTCAGTGATTATCTATCACCCGCTACTGAGTCCCGGCTATCCAGCGCGTCCCCACCTATAATCGTGACGTAGCCCGACAGAAATCCGCTGTCTACTAATATGAAAGGCAACTGAAAATCGTTTATGTATAAACATTCTTAATTTAAGATGACAAGCGTAACAGCATACGTGAGAGTCAAACAGAGAAACTGTAAACAAAACGACCATCGGTTTTATTGCTTCGACTTCCGCTTATTATATAAAACATTGGGTTTTATTTTAATTCTTGACGGTGAAATTCACAATTGGTTGATTATAAACATGTCTATTCCACATTCGCGGAACCAAGTGAGCGCATAAAACAAATGCAGGTCTGTAATGTTAAAGTCGATGTAAATAAGCGTGCTACTCCTATGTTTCAACCGAGTTTTTCCTTTAACAAATTTTGTATCTACCAAATTGGGTTGGTTGGGGTGTAATACTAATAATAAGTGTTGCCTTTAATTTAATCAATAAAATAAATTGACTTCATTAATTTTTTTGAACCACCTCTTAAGAAAATCTAAAAAATATGAATGGAATGATAAATCACAAGTACAAACTCATCATATTTTTTGCATTTTAGATAGGATTTATTCAGCAAAATTTAAGGGTGACGTCATCAATTTTTTTAGGAGGGATGAACAAATACATTTTGAACAAAAGTTTACCATGCTTATAATAACTTTAAAATATTCCCAAGATTTCAAAGCATTCGGTTTTGTAATTCCTGATTAAATCGATAAAATAAATTCACGCGTTCATTAATTTTTTTGAGTCACCCTGCATATGCAAATCCAAAAATATGAATGGAATGATAAATCACAAGTACAGACTCATCATATTTTGTACATTTTAGATACGATTTATTCGGCAAACTTTTGAGCTGACGTCATCAGTTTTTTGTAGAAGATAACCAAATATATTTTGACTAAAAATTTATTATGCTCTTTATAACCTTAAAACATCTGCAAGATTTCAAAGCATTCGGTTTTGTAGTTCCTGATTAAATCAATAAAATAAATTTACGCATTCATTAATTTTTTTGAGTCATCCTGTATATGCAAATCGAAAAAATTTGAATGGAATGATAAATCACAAGAAGAGACTCACCATATTTTGTACATTTTAGATAGGATTTATTCAGCAAAATTTTGTGGTGACGTCATAAATTTTTTAGGGGGGACGACCAAATACGTTTTGATCAAAAATTTACCATGCTTATGATAATTTTAAAATATCTTCAAGATTTCGAAGCATTCGGTTTTGTAGTTCCTGAGTAAATCAGTAAAATAAATTTACGCTTTCATTTATTTTCTTGAATCACCCTGTATATGCAAATCCAAAAAATATGAATGGAGTGATAAATGACAAGTACAGGCTCATCATATTTTGTACATTTTAGATATGATTTATTCGGCAAACTTTCGAGCTGACGTCATCAAGTTTTTGGAGGGGATAAGCAAATATATTTTGACTAAACATTTATTATGCTCTTTATAACCTTAAAACATCTGCAAGATTTCAGAGCATTCGGTTTTGTAGTTCCTGATTAAATCAATAAAATATATTTACGCATTCATTAATTTTTTTGAGTCACCCTGTATATGCAAATCCAAAAAATATGAATGGAGTGATAGATCACAAGTACAGACTCATCATATTTTGTACATTTTAGATATGATTTATTCCACAAACTTTTGAGCTGACGTCATCAAGTTTTTGGAGGGGATAAGCAAATATTTTTTGACTAAAGATTTATGATGCTCTTTATAGCCTTAAAACATCTGCAACATTTCAAAGCATTCTGGTTAGCAGATTAAAAATTAAATTTCAAAATGTTGTTTTATAATTTTGATTTTTTTTCCAAAAATCTGGACGTTTCGGGTGAAAAGTCGATTCAGAGTTGTAAACTACATGTGTAGGACTATGTTATTTTATACAATTGAAAACCCATTTACTATGTACAATTTTGAAGTGACGTCATCGCATTAGTGGTGGGGATGATTAGACAAATTTTGGTTAGCGTTTTACCATCTACATGATATTCTTAATATAAGTACAAAATTTCACAACAATCGGTCAAGTACTTTCGGAGATTATCTGTCTAATAAAAATCCGGGACAACAGACGGACAGACGGACGGACAGACGGACGGACAGACGGACGGACAGACGGACGGACAGACGGACGGACAGACGGACGGACAGACGGACGGACAGACAGACGGAAATGGGAGACCTATTTCTTCGTCTTCTAGGGGTCATGAAAGATCGAGAAAACGTAAAAGTAGAGAGTCGGCCGACGGACTCGATTACAATACTTCCTTTGCTTACGCTCGGGAAGTAAAAAGACAAAAAAATTTGAGTTATAGTGACTTCTTACGAAACTTTTGCACCTAACAAACATACATCAATGAATTACCAAATTTGGAGATACACTTTCTGCAACGTACGTAATAAAAGTTTATTGCTTTTACGCAAAACGCTTTATAAATTAAATGAATCAATCACTCTACAATTTTTTTAATATGACTTTTACGAGTATATCGAGTCATGTAAGTACGTCAGATTCGGCCGCTGCAAATAGTCCATTAAATAAAATTCAAAATCCTGTTTTAGATTAGATTACAATAAACTATAAAACGTATTTTTATTTAAAATCCGATACAAGAACATTGTACTTCCCTGAGTGACAGCAACAGAGTAAATATAAACAATGCTTAATCTTTTTATAGGAAATTCATTTTTGACGGCGCTTTTTCATCACCTTATAATGTTAGAATCTATGTTTTGATTAGATTGTAATCAATATTACATCGATTCTCTGTAATCCTATTCAGGTTACATAGATAAAACGTGTGTCCAAAAAATGTGGAACAAATGTGCTACAAAATTAATCATCATTATGACTCTAATGTATTAGATAAACAAAAAAAATTGTAATAATTCCCATAGTAGTCAAAAATTGGTTCAGAATTACCTTGATTTTAAATTTTTTTGACATTATTTAAAAATTGTATGTTTTTCACAAATATCAGTTTAATTTTTCTTCTACTATAGACGACTTCATATGTGTGGTTCGTCACAAAACCTAAAAACGACGATTAAGTCATGATTTTGACGACGTCAATTGAAAAAAAGTGATATCAGTTAAAATAAAACAATATAACTTCGAAATACAATGTGATCCCCATTTTTACGTGGTTTTGACGCTTGGGTTTTTCCTGTTCGACCATACATACCTACACTTTTGCATTATGTTAATTCGTCAAAAAAAAAAATGGAATTATCGTTGGCTCCGAAAAATTTTAGAACAATACACAGTTTTTTCGGTATCACTATTCTCAGAAATCTTGCCGTGTAAACACCAGTGACTAAAGAATTTGTTTGCTGTAATTAAACAGATAACATTTTTTTGATTCACCTAAAATGTGTTCACCAAATATAGGAATTTAGGAGTAATCTTCAGTGATCACCAATCTTGGATTTACGATAAGTCTAAGCCTGTTTCAGTTCACACATTTTTCAGGTCCAAGGTCAGAATTTATGACGTACTAACATACATACGCTTTAATGTCTAAGCTTAGCTCATTTATAAAATAACTGGATAAATAAACATTACCTATTTTATATTGACATGTCTATCTGGTTAAATATTGTAATAATTAACGAGAAAACAGAAAAAAGTGTATACATATTTTTGGATTTTTGATTTGAGTAATTAGTCTGTTGACGTTTTTCATGACGTTTCCAGGAATTTATTTTTAGATATCATTTTTTGATATATCTATTCATTTATCTGTGATAAAAATAAAATATAGAGCAATTATTTTATTGTAGTACCAATGACAACAAATACTTGCTCATCCTCCTTATCAGTCTCTATAAAAGCAATAATTTTTCGAGTTAGAAATTCATTAGTCGATAGTTGCATGGTTGAGACGGTACTGTTGTACAGTACTCAATAGTGTTAAAAATGTCGCAGGAAACAGTAAAAGTAAGTAAAAATTTTGCTATTATTAAAGAAAATCATAATAATATAATATAATTTTAATACCAATTGTTGAGGTTTACAAATTTTGACACACATTTTCAAAAATTTTTGAAAAAACTAAGTCGTCGTTAATTTTCAGCTTTTCCGTAAAAGATCCGGCACTACAAACGAAGGCATAGACTTCGAAAACATCAACATCGCCAACCTAGCCTTCAACTTAGCAACCAACGACCAAATCAAAAATTTTGACTTATCCGCAAACGACAAAAATTATGGGGCGTTCGATGACATCGTCATCGAAGTGGAAACAAGTCAAAACAAGCACACCTACGCTTTACAACTAAAACACAGCGACAAAGGAAACCTATCATTAGAAAGATTAAAACAAAACTCAGGCCCGTTTGCCATTAAAAAGTACTTCGAGTCCGCACAAACCATCAACGACACAAACCAAACCTTCATTCTATACACCAACCTAAAATTCAACATCGCAGAAAACACGATTTTCCACCTAGCGGGCGAAGATTTCCAAATCAAGGTTACGAAAGTTGCTCCAAATTTCATGTTCGATGTTTCGGAAACCACGAATTTTTACAAGTTCGAAGTGGTTGAAGATTGCGCTTGCTACGACTACTCACCAGATATCCTAGTTTACAAATCATTTTTCGACAAGTTTTTTTTGTACGTGGGGCAAGACAAAGTTGGTAAGGTTGAGCTAAGGTTGAGGGAAAAGTTTGTCGAAAAATTTCACGCCAGTGACCATGAATGCGACAAATACGTAAAAGTCATAACCGAATGGTCCAAAGAAAAGGGTGTAAAAGAGAAATTAAACAAAACGTGGGTGAAACACCTCGTGGCCTTGCAAATTTTGTCGCCTAGAATCAAACCGTTGTCATTCGGGTCGGTCAACCAAAAAATGACAATTTTGCGTGACGTGGTTGATTGTTTTGACGTCACTGTGTTTGATAGTGGGTCGTACGAAAAGGTGCGGGGGATGTGGGGGAGTGTAAACAGTGACGTCCAAGAAGTGAAGAAAGTGCGAAAAAAGTATCACCTTGACGCGGTTGCTATCAATTGTATTGATGACGTCAATCCGACACTATTGAGCACGGTTTTGTGGCTGCAAGGTAAGTGTCCGTTGATTGTCGACGAAGACCAAAGTGTGCTCAAAGCGATTCAACTATGTCGAAATAAAAAATTTATAGTGCTTAGAACTCAAATTGAAGAAGAAACTCAGTTGGACGACGATTCAACTTTCAAAACTTTGTTGGACTTGAAACCAAAAACAACCCACTTTCGTCACTTATTGAAAAATTTTACTTTTTTGCTACAAGGTAAGAGCGAGCTTTGTTTGGAGACGGTAGAAGACAACGAAGAATATTTGGAGATGTTGACGACAGACGATTTGCTGCAAATGGCGTGTTGTCCGTCGACTGTTGGAGGAGACAAAGAAGACCTTCCAGACCCTTACATCCACAGAAGTTTGAAGTCGACACTCATTGATCTAAAGTATCTTGAGGAAACCAGAGAAAGCACTTTGGTTATTCTCGATTGTGTGAAAAACCTAGACAATATAGAACACAAAATCAACCACAAAGAGTTCATTCGAGTTGACGAATACATAAACGAACAAACAATATGTGCAACTACAACTTTGAAACGCGTTTCAACGTTCCGACACTCAACCCTACCGTTGGAAAGTACGGACTCGAGTTTTACCATTCTTGTCAATGACAACACAACCAGTTTCACTCAGTTTCAGAAAATACGTTCGCGACACAAGAACACACGAACCATTCACCAGTTTCGAGTGGCCGTAACTGGAAAGTTGGAATGGATCCGCAGCTTTGGTGGCATCACCGACTTAGAACCTCACGTCTTACCGGATTTTTACCTCATCGAAGAAAAAACCATCGCGTTTTCACAACCGGATAACCCCATAACGATAATAGCGAGTAACCCGGGGATGGGCAAAACCGAAATCATTAAGAGCTTCAAAAACAACAGCCCTCCAGATTTTTGGACCTTGATTATCCTTCCGGAAGACATATACACCTTTTTTAAAGAAAATCGAACGAGAATGACTATCAATGTGTTTAAAAGATTCATAATAGAACACAAATACAGTGACAGTCAAGACAGAACCTTCTTCCAACTGTGTTTGCAACGAAATACGGTGATTTTCGTCTGGGATGGTCTTGACGAAATTTCAAGCCCCCACTTGGAGGCCGTTGTCAACATGATTTTGGACTTTTCGAAGAAAGGGTGGCCCCAGTGGGTAACCAGTCGCTGTCACCTGAAGAAATTCCTAGAAACGAAATTCCAAACGTTCGCGCTAGATCTACACCATTTTGACACCAACGAGCAAAAATTCTACATCCAAGAACGCCTCAAAAACGTGGGTTCTATCGACAAAATCGAAGAACTGTGGACGAAACTCCAGTCCATCTTCATGCTCAAAGAACACATCGACATTCTAGGAATCCCTCTACAGATTTTCATGTTGACGGATTTGTTTATCCACAACCGAGACAAATATTTGGACGCCCTCAACGACTCGTTCATTCTAACCGATTTATATCACCACTTCGTCGAAGAAAAGTTGAACATTTATTGCGCGTCGACCGCCAGCGTGGACTTCCGGTCCGAGTCCGTCGTTGCAATCACCAAACAAGAAATCCTAAGTTGCTACGAAAAAATTGCTCTGAAGGTGGTTTTCCCGAGCGCGAAACTCGCACAACTCAATATCAATTTCGACGAAGAGCTGGAAAAAATCGAGAAGGACTATTTCCGGATTGGGGTGATTAGTGAAATCAGGGACCAAACTCCGCGCTTTCTCCACAACTCGTTCGCCGAATTTTTCGCCGCGAGTTATTTCTCGAAAAATCTGTCTTCTATGTTAGACGATGTTATTTTTGACTCGAGGTATACGAATGTGCACTTTTTTTTTGACTTGTTGTTGGCCAAGGAGTCAGTGTCGCACGTCGCGGTGTTGTACAAAAGGGTGGATTTGTTGTTGACTTATGATGGGGAGGTTTTGAGAGGGAAGGACAAAGGGGGGAGGACGGCGTTGCATGTAGCGTGTTCGTGGGGGAAAAAGTGTCCTGGTTTCAACGTGACGAAAGAAGTAGACGGCTATGTCATCGATGGCGATGCAAATTTTGACCAAGCCGAAGAAAGTGAAGACTATTTGAAGATAATACAGTATTTGGTGGATAGAAGCGACGTTACTGAGAGTGATGATTTGTTTAAAATGACACCACTGGATTATGCGAGGAAAAGCAAGTGTTTTGTGGCGGAAATAAAAATACTTGGTAGAAGCGACACCAGATTTGGGGAGGGCGAAGTCGAACGTATCGTCAACATGTTGTTCTATGCGGCTAGATTTGGCTACTACGAGGTGTTTGGTTTATTGAAACGAAAAATGGACCAGTTTTGTAAAAAAGTGAAGTCTTCGGGTTTAGTTTCTAAAGTCAGTGGCAGCTTGAAAGCTTTGTCGCTTGGAAAGAAACGTAAAAACTTTTGTATATTTCAGTTTGAAAATCTCCTGAGAGTGAGTAACAAGAATGGTGCTAATTTGCTATACAGAGCGTCGAGGTATGGTCACTTCGATATAGTCCAGTTTTTGATAGAATCGGGTGTCGATATTAACCACGCTACGGGAAAAGGTGGTACCCCACTTTGGACGGCCGCTCGAAATGGCCACTATCGGATTGTCAAACTCTTGGTTAAATGTGGGGCTGACGTCAACCACGCCGACGATCGAGGCTATACACCCGTTTTTCTAGCATGTGAGAATGGCCACCTAGAAATTGTCAAACTATTGACAGCTAGCTGTGCCAATCTTGAGCACCCTATAAACATCGGACACACACCTCTTCACGTCGCGTCACTAAAAGGCCACAAAGAAATCGTCGAATTGTTATTGTCTTGTGTGGAAGTTAACGTGGTCACAAATAATGACGAAACGCCACTTTATCTAGCTGTTAGGAACGAACACGGGCACATTGTAGACCTTCTTGCTCCCTACCATCCAGTAGTCAATCGTGCCAACACAGAAGGTATCACCCCACTTCACTTAGCTTCCGGATACGGCAACCACGAAATCGTCAAAATGCTACTAGCATCAGGTGCCAAAGTCAACTCTGCTTGTAAAAAAGGCATGACACCGCTGTTCCTAGCCACGTTATATGGTCACGTGAAAGTCATAGAAGCCCTCTTGGCTTCCAATGCTGACCCTAATATAGTCGACGCGGAAGAAATTTCGCCACTTTACCTCGCTTCCATGAACGGCTCCACCCAAATCGTCACACTTCTATTGTCATCCGGTGCTTCCATTGACTCCGTAACCGTCGACGGACTCACACCCCTTAGTATAGCGTCAAGTTCCGGCCACTTCGAAGTAGTCCGACTCCTTGTAGCCTCCGGTGCCAGAGTCAACCACCCCGACGAAACTTTTCCCTCCATAGTACTCGCCGCCCACGCCGGCCACACCCAAATCGTCGACTATCTCATATCAGCAGGTGCCAAAGTCAACGGGTTAGCTAAAGACGGCTGTTCCCCCCTCGAAGCCGCCTGTATTGGAGGACACCTAGATCTAGTCAAGTACTTGATCGACAATAAGGCTAATATTCACCTTCGGAACCGCAGTGGCGAGTCGCCGATCTTGGCGGCTTGTGAAAAAGGGGACAAAGCGATTGTTGAGTACTTGGTAGAGAAGGGGGCTAGGTTGGACCAAGCCAACCACAACGGGGAGATGGCGCTTCATAAAGCGGCGGGGTCTGGAGATCTAGAAACCGTTGAGTTTATAGTACAAAGTGGCGCTAGTGTTAATTATACGCCGCCATCTGGGTGGTCTCCAATGGGGATTGCTTGCTTGGAGGGGCACGTGGGGGTGGTTAAGTTCTTGATTAAAGAAGGGGCGAATGTGAATTTTGCGGGGGGTTCCGGGATTAGTTTGCTTCGGTTGAGTTTCCAAAAGGGGTATAAGGAGGTTTGTGAATGTTTGGTCAAGGCTGGTGCTAATCGTTGATTGGTTACGGCAACCAATTTGGTCTTGAGCGATGTGCGATCCCACGTTTGAATTTTGGTGTTTTTGTTAAGTAAGATGCGATCTTAACCTTAATTCAACCATACAAAGTACTCTGGAAAGTTGTAGACCAGGAATTGTGACTGACATTTTTAATCAAGAAACTGAATTATGTTTTTCTGTCTAGTGGCCTTTGATGTAGATCTTTGCCCGTACAGGAGGGATTTAGTAGCGATGAAAAAATCAGAAAATAGGTGGTTCTATTAGTAAAGGGAGGAAGGAAACATAACCTTAAATTATTTCACACTAGAATAAATCGCTAAAACTGACACTGTCGATGTTATCGGTTGTATTTTTGAGGGTGTTGGTCATGGCTCATTCAAAATATTGTATTTGCATTATGGTCAAGCTGTGTTAGTCGTTTTTTGACACAAGTTTGCCTACCAGTTGTAAGTTGTATGAATTTCTTGTTTGAAGAAACAAAGCAGATGTCTTCATGATTCTTGATCAACGAGAGGTGAAGAAGTCCAACAGTCTGGACCTTTTAGGACAAAAAAGTCAAGCAAGTATTTCTTTGACATTTAAAATAAAAAAAATGTAAAATCTATTTTTCTTTTTACAGTTGTATAGTTTCACAAAATCGAAAACATGGAATTCAAAAAACAGAAAAAACTGAAGATCTTAACGAAAATGGTGGTTAGAATATTCCTACACTTAATTGGAGATTTATGAATTTCGACACGATTTTTACGACTGTCTAAGAATAAGAAAAGCACATACGTTAGATAAGAAGGTTAGACTGGACCAAACTCGGGCTATCCAACTTAAACATATTCAGTCGGATCGTTGTACATCAAAAATTTAATAATAATAATAATAATAATAGTAATTTATTGTCAAACAGAACTGTTCCAATAGAGACAATAAAATATAAATAAGAGAATTGATGGCTGCATTTGTCTTAAATAAAAATTAAATGTACTCTCCTTACAATTAAAAATATCTAAATTAACTGGTAGATTGTTTATAGCCGTCACAATTTTATTAACAACAGAGCTGTTTAAACCAAAATTAGTTTTTCTAAAAGGACAAACATATATATCGCGGTTTCTGGTATTAACTAAAGGCGCTTTGAAATTTGAAAGCAGCAAAAGCTGTGGACAATCTATTTGATTATGCAAGACTTTAAACCCAAATCGTAGCTTAAATTTCAAAAAGCGTTTCAACAGTGCTTCCAATTCCATTAGATTAAGTCTCTGATCATAGTTATATTGCGATTTATTAAGCCCCATCTTGAAAATTAAAAAGTTACACATTTTTCTCTGCACTCTTTCTAGTCTTGTTACGTGGACTTCATAAAAAGGAAACCAAATAATTATGCCGTACTCTAATAGGTCTAACTAGTGTAATAAAAAGCTTACGAACAGCAGCAACGCAGTGAAAATCTCTAGTCATCCTTTTTATGAAGCCACTTACACGATATGACTTATCAATAATATAATTCATGTGGCTATTAAAGCGTAGTTCAGATCTTTAATTTCATTCATCCTTTCCAAAAGCTTATTATTTATAGCGTAAGCGAATACATAGTTACATAATTTTCTAGAGAATGTTATAATCTTGCACTTGTCATTGTTGAGCATCATATTATTATTAATACACCACTTCGTAGTAACATCCAGGGCTGCTGGGAGCCGATAACAATCTTCAAAGGAACTTATCATGGAAAAAATTTTTAAATCATCAGCAAAAAGCAGTAGATTCGATGTAGAGAGGGATACTGCAAGATCATTAATAAATAGTAGGAAGAGTATTGGACCAAGATGACTGCCCTGGGGAACTCCGGAAGGTATTAAGAGAGGATCGGATAGAAATCTCTTTAACGAAATTATTTGAATACGATTGGTAATATAAGAGAAAATACATGTGTGAAGTTGACCACAAATACCGAGATACCAAAGTTTTTTCATTAGAAGAGCATGGTTAACACGATCAAACGCCTTACTAAAATCTAAATAGACCGAGTCAACCTGGTATCCATCTTTAAAATAATTTATATAGCAAGATTGGTCACTGTACTTCTACTAGGAAGGAATTCATGTTGATACGGTGAAAGGATGTTTCTGTACAGTCGTATAAGTTGTTCACTAATAATTGATTCTAAACCCTTACATAAAGCAGAAATAATCGATATAGGTCGGTAGTTAGTAACTTCAGATTTGTCTCCAGTTTTATGCAGGGGAATCACATGAGATTGTTTCCAAATACTGGGACAAATACCAGTGTCGATAGATTTTCTGTAGAGTAAAAAGACAGGCCAGACTAAGCTACTAGCACACTGATTTAGGAAATAAGGAGGAATTCCATCTGGTCCTGGATTTAAACTAGGTTTTAGAATTAATAGTTTGTTTCGAATCAAGTCAGGATTTAAGTCAATATCATGTAAAGTAACGTTATTCAGAAACAAAGAGGAATTAATTCAGGGTTATGGTTGTTCACGTTTGAATCATATACAGACTTAAAGCAAACATATTGGCAATCGTTTGGGGATCAGAGGAGTGTAAATCTTGGTAGTACATATTTTTCGGTACACTAGATTTAGAATTGAGACTTTTGGAATTTACGTAGTTAAAGAAGACTTTAGTATTATTATGAACGTTATTTTCAACGAAGCATATATAGTTATCGTGGTCTTCTTTTATTGCAGCCTTAGCTAGTCTACGAACCGCTTTAAAATGATTATAATGGGTTACATTCAATGTAGATCTGTATAATGAGAATAATCTATGCTTTTTATTTACAAGTTTAACAGTATTTGGCTTAAACCATACTGGAAAATGAATATTGGGCTTACTAGTTTTAGGAGTACAGATATCAATAGCCTCATGAACAATGGAGTAGAAAATTTCAATTGTAGCTTCAATATCTGAATATTGCAAAAGAGAACCCCAGTTTATAGATGAAAAATAGTTATTTAAAAAGTGATAATTGGCTTTTTTGAAGTTATAGTACCCACTGATTTAAGGCACAATATTGGAAGTTGCATGATTTATGGGGAGAATTATACAGAGTGGAGGATGATGGTCATCCACGGTAACTAATCCAAAATCTTCACTATGAACTTCTGTCGACGAAGACGATGTTAATATTAAGTCAAGAATAACATCGGTTTTATTAATTTCATGATTATGCTGAAATAACTCCAATGAGGAGAAACCATCACAGATACTTTTTTCTTTGTCGCTGACCCCTGCCATACAATTTCTTGAATCATTTGTGAAAAATAAATTTGGTAAGTTGTAATCACCTGCGATGCAAAGGTTAGCATCAGAATATGTTGTTCGGACGAAGTCCATCGATGAAATATTGTCCAAGTAAGAGTTTAAATCGGAGTTAGGTGGAATATAGACCGCACCGCATACTATAAAACTTTGATTAAAACTAATTGATACATATAGTTCTACACATATTGAATCAGAAAAGCTTAGTTTACTAGATGACAGATCAGCTCGCACAGCAATAAGTACACCTCCACCCCTAGTTTTTTTAGTAGACATTGGATTACGATCACGACGAAAAACTGTAAATTTTGAATCAAATATTTCACTGTTTGTTATATCACTACACAACCAAGTTTCGGTGAGAACAATTACATCATAGTCCATATTTAATGACGATAGAAATGCTGATGATGTTTTAGTTCGAAGTCCGCGTACATTTTGATAAAAGAGTCGTAGTCCGGAGTTAGAAATTACTTTTTTGATTTGACGATTTTAGGCATGCCATTGTAATACCGTAGACTAATGTCAGCTTCTCCATTATCTCGCAGTGTTCGAAAGTCCTGTCTAATGTTATATGCTTGAGTTTGTTGCATCGGGGTGAGATCAGCATTGAGGTAGATAGAGTTTGTCCTACGTTTGGACCGGAGAAGAGATTTAGCAACACTAGAGTTGTTAAAGATAACTTTAACACGTGTTCAGATACGTCTTTGGCTTTGCACTCTTCACTGGAACCCTGCGGTTCCGGCAGACCTCTGATGATAGTATTATTTTCCCTACGAATACCCTCAGTGGCTTCTACAACTGCCTCTTCCAAATTTATTTCCGGTTGTTGACCTGCAGTGTTTGTTAATTGTTTATCAGCTTTCAATTCTTCGATTTCTTTCCTAAGTTTTTTTTCTGATACCAAATCATTCAAGGATTTTTTTATATCGCTGATAGTCGATGTTAATGAGGAGATAACAGCTACTAGGTTCTTTAACGTATTTGGATCATCTTGATCTGATTGCAAGGTTGGAGTTACAGCAAGGTTTTCTTTCAGCACAACCTATATGGGACCATACCCGACAATCCGCACAATAGATTTTTTTTTACCGCTGGTCTTCCACATACAGAGCACAAGACACGTTGCGCGTTAACGTCAGCGTCAGCCATCGCAAACCGAACTCTTTAAGTAAGTAGTAAAAGTAAAGTTTGAATATATACATATTGTGCCCTTCTTCCCATAACGTATCAGATGTTTTATTACAGGTACTGGTTTCGGTTTGACCTGACCTGATTTGACTGACCTGACCTAATTTGACCTCACCTCAGAGAAAAAAGACTTCATCAAAAATGAACCATGTTAGTTAGCAAAAGTATTCAATTGGTACCTAACAAAAATAAGTATTTCGTTTTTTCAGTCTCTGAAACCTATGTTTTTATATAACAACAATTCCCCCAAGAAATACATCAGAAGTGTGTTCCTAAAAAAAATAGACGGCTATTTCACGTACTTTTGCTTGATTTGTTTTAAAAGATCTTCAGCCAAATCTGTAGCGTCAGTGATTGTCCACTGCGGTTGCGATTCCGTCAGCGGACAAGCGGATTTTAATCATGTAATCATATCCTGATCTCATCATTCGCTACAGTGGATCAGTTACGACCCTACTGAAGACAAAGACGGCTTGTGCTAGGAACGGTCTTATGATCAGTCGCTGCGGTTACCGTCCGCAGCGTCTGACCCACAGCGGCATCTATGATCATTCAAACTGACAAGTAAACTCCATATCAAGGCAGGAAGCGGTGTTTCGGGGAATTCAAATGCCCTAAATGTAAAGGAAAGTGGATGAGCGGCAATTCATGACTTTCATAGCTGGATAGTAAATATAAATATACCTCGTTTATATTGGAATTTAAGGTTTTATTGACGGGAACCTATGTATAAACTTATCAAATGTATAAATTCGGTTTACAATTTTATGGTCGAGTCGTTATGTGTTCTAACAATACGATTAACACAATGAAATCTAAATTTGTATTCTTACTGAAACAATTTTCAGGAAGCATTTACGAAAAAAAAAAATTTTAGTACACTAAAACCAAAATGCAGTTTCGCTCCAAGTAGAAGTGCTTTGTTTTTACATAGTTGTAAGTCAGATGTCGTATATTGAAAATGTAAAAAATAACGGTTAACCTTTTAAGAACGGTAGCAGGAAAGAGCACTACCAGTATTGACGTAGTAATCAGTTAATTTATTATGATAAAGAAAAAATATCGTAGTGTACTAAGGAGATTCCAAATTTTTCGTCATGTGCTCCTTCCTGTTGTAGGAACAACCGTTCCCACAAAATCAGGTGTTCTACCTGAGGGCATTTGTAATATTTGTATAAATGTAAATATTTCCTATCCTTCGTCTACCTGCCCTACACTTCTTCATACTTTCTCTTTTCGCTTCTGGAACTTTCTAAACCCTTCTTTACCTACTTCCACCTCTTCAAATCCGAGCTTACCTGTGTACCATTTTAAACACCCTTCCTGCTTCTCCCTGACACCCTCGAACAGTAAAGAACAAAATAAAAACTCAAAACCGTACCGTCGCTTTTAAATCACCAACAATACCCACAACTGGTGACCCCGACGTGATTGAAAGAAGAAAAAAACGTGAGTATTACCAGTGATCGCG